CGTACGCATAAAGTGAATCTTTTGAAGAAGCAACAAAATGGGCTAATAATGATTCGTTGTAGTGTCATTTAAAGTACACAATTGTGTTCGCCATTTCGAAGTTTGTTTTTGATAGTGACATTAATTCACTCTCGTTATATTCATTCGTGTCGCCATTAATAAGCATTAATTTACTCATCTTCTCAGATTCTTTCAGCATTGTCAATACCAAATATTTATCCATCATATTGATATGCATGGATGTAATGAATGAAGAATGTCTTTAATGTCTCTGAACTTTTTTTGCGTTATTTTCTCTTTTTTGAGGAAATGTCCTCTTTCGAAGTTGTTGAATTGATTACGCATTTTCTTGTTGTTTAAATTATGGAATTGTGTGATATTCGTAATAAAGTACTGTTGTAAAGCTGCTCAAAATTTTGGTGTTGGTCGCATGCAGAAGGAGATTATATCAGCCCATAAAATGAGACTTTCAAATATGTCGTTGCACCACATGTTCATTCATATTAATCATGAATTCTATAGGAGCAGCTGCACGATTGAACGACGTCCGTAATAGTAAAATTTCAACGATTGTTTGTGCCTGACTATAAGGTCTGCACGATGTCGATGTTGGCTAGCAATGAGGTAAATCGAATGTTGAAGGGTGGAAACCATTAAATAGGATTTGTTGTGGGATTTGTTCCAACCTCTCGTAACTACAAAAGACAATCCTGAGCCATCCCCACCAGCAATTATCTATCAACAGAACATTGGTCTCAATGCGGTGCACTGAACCGAATGAATGGAGCGATGCTCAATTCAGCCACAGTCATCACAAACTTATCTCCTCGGATGCTGTAAAAGCATGAATTCGAATTAGAAGATACATTGAAAGCTGAATTGTATCGCAATTCAAGAAAGTTATTGTTAGATGCGATGAAGAGATTGATTTCGTGACAAACAATACTCAATTAGACTAGTATAGAACGGGTTGACGACATGTCAAAGGAAGTGCCTTGCGAGCAGTCACTAGGCAATCATTTCCTCCTTCTTACATCACAATAGATAACTCCAACTCAATCAACAAATAACCATTTTATTCTCATCGCCACTTACGCTAAACTCCATCATTTTCATTCACGTGCTCGTATTCCAACATCAATAAATTGCACCTTTCCCATCAGTCTGTTTCGTGGTGATCGATTATTCATCTAGGTTTAGTAATTATCAACGAATGAATGATTTAGTAATTAAGGTTTAGTAATTTAGTAATAATTATTACTAAATTATCAAGGTTTAGTAATAATTATTAAGTAGCTAAGCGAAAATTCGCAAAAAATTATGCCATGTGTGAACATCGTTTGATTGCGTAGTGGAGAAAAGAATTTAACTTTGCTTTTTGAATCGTGTCATCGAGATTGATTCTCAAATATATCGATGACGAACACATGGAGAGAGTCGCTGCGGACGCTTGATGGTTTGCTTGGATATACATAGCTAGAAGGATTGAATTTTATGAATGAATGCTCTAATTTTAGCTGTTGAATGTGCATATTGATGAGCATTTTGGTGAATGGGCTACGAAACTGCTGCTCATATAAACGCTGAAATACTGGAATGCTATCTCTTCCTAATATGTAAAAACAACAATGCTTTTTTTACCAAGTTGAACAAACGCACACATTTTCATTAACATTTAACGCATCTTCTTCTTTCATCACCATTTTTATGCGGATTTACTCTGCTGAAAGTTTTATTTAACTGTTTTTTCCTTTGCACTACTCATTCAGAACATAGACAACACTGAATTGGATACGAGTAGATTTGAGACTCAGAATGAGGTATGGACTGGAATGAGTATTTAAATCCTGTTCTCGGATTTGCGTTTTGAGGATCTCCATGTGTTCATTACATGTGCTTCCACCAATCATCCGAGTAATTTTGGTCACCGGTTTATTCATTTACGGACGGATACCCCTGTGAATTGCATTCGATCTCATTTATTTAGTTAATTAAATGTGAACACTTTTTTCATCCATTTGAAATATTCGCTCAGTTACAGTGTTTCACACTCGAGTAGGTAAGGATCTCACCAAGCGATAGTGATTTGATTCTGACAGTGTGATAGTGATACGTCTGGTTGGAATTGAAATCTTTGAGAGTTCTTACTGAGTTAAAGTCATTTTTTTCATCATCCCATAAATGCAGAATCTTATCATCTGATTGAGGAATTTGCTGCATTTCGAGAAGTATTTTGCGTAAGCAGGTGGCAAGACTCAGCAATTAATCGAAATAAAAAACTACTCTGCATTTAATGAACCTGCTGCAATTGGCATGCTGATAGGTTTAAGTTGCTCCAAGAGAGAATTCGAGGATGTCCAGAGGGAAATGAGGTTTTCGGAAAATCGCTGTTTATTGATTTTGCAGTCATAATGCTTTTCGTGGATGCTTAATATTGTGTTGTAAATGCTTTTTCAATTACAAGAAATTAACTCCTCTGATAAAAATGACCAATTCTTGACAGAAAATTCCTTAATTATTGGATCTATTTTCTGATTTGCTTTCGACATGACACGACGAATGTTGGGGGAGGGAATGAATTGTGATCAAGTGGACTGCTTCAGGGGACGGAGGAATAACAGTCTGTCATCAGACAAGAGCAGAGCGTAAGAATCATTGGTCGACAATCATTCATTGAAAATGATATTATTCAGCAGTAGATGTTACTGTAAAAATGATTAGTTTATGCACGGCTAAATGAATCGCTGTCAGAGGATGTTGGTTAGGAATCGATGCTAGTTTTTGAGGGTGAATGGGTGTATGGTTTGTTAGTTGGAGTAAGCAGCGGCAGTGAGGAGTATTTGGTTGGAAGAAGGCACACAGAGTGCTGAGTAGTCAATCGTAGTTTTGGTTTGTTCGAAAAAGAGTTGGTTGGCATCATAGTGGGCTCATCAAAAGGACCATTGAGCTGAGGGCCGTCTGCTGCTGGTTGGCATCGGCATCCTGCATGCAGCAGCCATCCATGCATGCACATATCCATCCGTTCATCCATCCATCCATCCATCCACTTGCATACATACACCAAGTTTAATTAGCTAATCTGCTAGTACTGCTTATTCCACAAATATGACACTGAAAACTTATGCTTTTAGCATCTTAGTGCAAATTTCATGTTTGTTTATTCACTTCATCTATCCATCGCGATCCAATCTAATGTAATGTTTATTTATTTTCATTTCATAACCACTGTTCGTTTCAATTCGCGCCGAATTCAGTTGCTCAGTTAAACAAAAGTGTTCTGCTACGAAGACCATTTAATCTTTAAATCTGACGTTTGAGTCAACGAGAATGATTATAGTCAACATAATTGAAAAAATAACACACTTTTCAAAGCGAAACAAAATCCGAAATTAATAATTTGCAGCATTTTCACTATCGTTTGCGATCCGCGAAAGGCGATATTTCTTGTTTCATGAAACTTCCGTTCACAAAAAAATGCTCTCTGAACTAATATAAAGCGGTGACCATGTCACGCAGTCAGTCACACTCTAACGTTCCGATGCAGTCTAAAATGAGCCAGAAATCATCTATCAAGAGCCACTCGCTTGTCACTAATTGATACTGAAAACATCAGTCGATAAGAGTAATCGGATGTTTTAAACGATTGCTGCTTTGATTTCCTAACGAATCGCTATCTGTTATCAATATTATAAGCTATTGAATGTATGCTTGTAAAATGATATCGATGTGCGTCGAGATCAATTATTTCGGTTTGTTTGGTCATCGTTCCACCACTCACTCGTTTCCGGTTGAATTGAATGTCATCGCAATCTGTGTGCATTCTTCTATACGTTTCCGTTGTGGACGATGCGTTGTGCTGACCAAGCAAAAGAGCAGTTTAAGCCAATTCAACTTCTATTCTTCAAACCCCCTCTTAAAGCGGCTACGATAACTGACATTTATTGAACCTTCCGTGGGAAGAAGCCTGGAAGTCGACGATTGATCCTCATTAGTATTGCGATTGAATAGTGGAAACGATATCTGAAAAGTGCATACGCTTAACGACAACAATCGCTCGTTTTGACGCTGAAGCTGATGAAATTTCGATTCATTCAAATGTGAAAACTAATTTGATTTTGAAGAGTAGTTCATTTTGAAATATCCGACGATTGAGGCAAAAAGGATTATTACAGCTCTTAGAATGTTGCAAATTGAAGTTCTGAGGAATACTTGTCAATACTTGGATGACAAATTGCTGTATTGAACTGATCGATTCAATGACATCGTCTAATAACTTGAACGGAATGTTGTAACGGTTTTTCATCGATATTGCTTCTAGAATTCAACGACATATTGACGAGCCTAAGAAATTCAGGGAAGCGATTCACTGTGATTAGTTGTTTGATATTTCATTTCGCTTTGA